GTCAAATGAGCAGAAGCGACGTGTTGCAGATCAAATTTATATTGGAAAATCCTTTTCCGCATGCGCATCCATGGCAAATTGAAAATAAAAACCATCAACAACCTTTTGTTTGCATTCCTGTATGTTGATAGAATTTAATTTTGTAAAAATAAATATAATTATAATTATATATAAAAATATCTTTATCCCGGAAAAAGGCAACTTATACAGGATGTTTCATAATATATGTTACATTTTGAATCTCCAATTTGACAGACAAAAGAAAAAGATACAGATAAGTCTTTTTATCAAATTGATGCACATATCCTCAAGATTCATAATGTACAATTACCAACTAAAATATTAAATACTGAACATAATCTTAAAACATTAATGAAAATTAGCGAAATTTCCAAGTTGCGCTATTTTTGCTATGTTGAATTTCACAACGTCAAAAGTTCACATTACATGTTATAAATGATCTCCATTTATTCAACAACAAATCACGTTGTTTCTTGAAATTTGTATAAAACCTTAGACAGTCCTCATTTGAAGGTTCATGTATTTTCTAAGCTCATTCAATATCTGTGGTCTAGGATTGAAGACCCTTTCCTTAAGAACCCCTCAGAAAAGAGCCCAAAAATTGAGATTGTCAAATGAAGAGGTCAAACTCTTTCCTTGCATTAATTATTGATAATTTGTATACTGATTACTTCAAATCATATTTAAGAGTTCATTATATGCTGAAAATGCTGATATTGCCAGAATAAATTTCTGAAAATATCTATCAGACACTTTTCTCAGAAGTTTGCTACACTAAGGGTCTCGACTTCACCAATAACATCTCCGCTTCTTAATGACTTCTGGCTTTCTGAAATACTGTGTCATTTATCGCATACTGTCCGTCCCTGTCCTTTGACCTTGTTACTACCCTTCTGATAAGCATCCTAGAAAGCTTCTATTTTATTTTGGAAAATTTATTACATGAACTAGTAAATGAATAGAATGAATATTAGCGACATAATCTGAAAATAAAAACAGCTTTACAATTCTTACAATTCAGCACTGAGTGGATTAGTCAAGTCCATCTCAAGAAATATCCAAATTATGACATCAACGTTTATAGCACATTTAATCATTTCAAGACCATGATTTCCTTGACTTTTTCACATGGAACAAAAATGCAGGATTTAATGTTTAAAATGATATAAAGTATGTAATAGAAGTATGATAGGTAAGAAAAATAATTAGATCTCAAAATGTAACATATATTATGAAACACCCTGTATATAAATATGACAGCCAGTTCTCTACTGACATTTTACTTTTTATTTACTTTTAGCAACTTAGAATTGTTTTCTTTTCCAGCATTCTAAAACTTAGTGTTGAGCTAATTCCCCTAAAAATCCATTAAGTTACCTGTAAGTGTTCATTCTTTTGGGAAAACTGTCTCTACTTTTTAAGAATAGACAGTTTTTTCAAAAGAAATGGACAATGAAAACAAACAGAATGGAGAGTTATAGGTAAAACTTGACATGTGCACAACAGGGAAACCGAAACAAAAACAAACGATTTAATGTACATGTAAATAACAAACAAACAAACAAACAAACAAAAAAAAACTTGGAGATTTAAGTTAATCCAGAACACAGTGTCTGCATCGGATCTGTTTGATTTTACACATTTAAATCCATATATAATCCACATTATTTCAATGCTCAAAACGATTTTTTTTTCACAAAACTGGAATTTAAATGACACAATTTCACATTTGATTAAGAGTTTGGAAGCATCATTCCCTGGAGAAGAATCCATTCTAAACTTGAAGTAGGACAACATTAAATCCATCATCCAGAAAAAGTTTGCACCATGAAAATTACACTGTTGTAGTGAATATTTCGGTAAAAAATAATTAGAATTGATGCATTTCAAGATTTGATTTGAAATACATTTTCATTTCGAAGTTTGACTCATGGCTATCCAACATTCGGAACACAATTTGCATTTCACCATTTCATTGCTGCAGTTATGTCCTTAAAAATGAATTCAAATACTGTAAAAACACTTTTGGTTTGTAATATCTGTAGATGTATTTGTCGTCGAAGAAGTTTTGAGGGGATCAGAGTTTTGATTATATTTTCTTTTATGCTTACTAATGTTTACTTCCATGTCAAAATATCACTGGTTTTGTTCATTTTTTGGTTTCCATTCGGTTTCGATTCTGTCATTTTTTCTCTCGAGCGGAGGGAAACATGTTTGCCGTTACAACGAATATATTAACTGATGTTGAGGAGTTGAATTCTTATATACATACTACCATTCCCCGGAATCCATCTGTAACTGTCCATTCTTAAGACAAGAATCTTTTGTTATTCTCATCTGGAAACACAATGACTCTTCACCAACTTGCTGTGCATCCCAAGCTTACCTGTAACTGTCTATTCTGTAAACAATGATTTTATTGTATGTGTGCTACCTGTTTTGCAAATAAAAAAAATCTCAAAACCAAGAGAAACATGTTTTAAGTAAGAGAAAGGCCTCAAACTGCCATTCTGCTAGAGAAAGAACTAATCTCGGGCCTACGGCCATTGATTAGTTCTTTCTCTCAAAGAATGGACAGTTTGAGGCCTTTCTCCTTTACAGAAATTTTGATGATAGCATTAATTTTCCCGTGGCAAACTGAAGTCCCACATTTTGTTGTATATTTAATTTCTATTTCACTTTCCTCTTCAGACTGATGTTTCTTATGACAAAGACATTTTAAGGGGATGTTACGATATCGGTACATGTACTGATGAAGTTTAAATACGCAGTCTGAAACATTCTTGAAGAATAAATGCAAAGAACTATTGCGAACTTGAAAACCACGTGTTTGTTGAGGGTTTTTTTTAAATATTTTATATGCAAAGTATAAAAAGGATTTAATTTTTCACAAACAAACATGCCAAGGAGACATACATATATTTGCATTTTCATTACGTTTCTTTAAACAACAAAAAGGAACTTGACGTTCATTTCTTTATGACTTCAATCACGTGATTAGACTTTCTACTACGGAAAGAAAACTGCCAGAGATATTTGGACTTAGATCTTGTCCTTAAGCACAGCTATTTATAAGAACTAGACAGAAACGAAAATAATTGATTCATAATAGATTTTTTAAAGACTATCATATTTATTTACATTGAGATACATCAAAATAAATGGTTAATCGTAGTTATAAATTGAATTCATATATTCATACATCTGTTATTAAAAAATGAATTCAATATATACAATTAAATATATACCCAATTGTACCAAAACAGTCAACAATTACTATTGCAAAGTGTCTGTACACACTCTTTTAATGTGAATTATAAAATTTTGAACATCTTGTATCAAAGAAGGAAAACTAGGGATGGCAAATTGTAACCGGTTAACCGAATACTCGGTTTGAACGATGGCAATCGGTAAGAAAATTCGCGCGATCGGAAAAACTGAAAAACCAGAAGAACTGGTTGGACGGAAAAAATTTTGAACCTAACTTTGTTAAAATTTATTTTTTGAAAATAGAAATCTTCGCATAAACGTTAAAAAATCAACATTCTTACATATCCATGTGGACTTGGATAAATTATGGTTCTCCGGATTGAGATCGTTTGGTAATTTGTCATTTAATGTTGTTTGAAGTATTAGTTACTGTTAAAATACCATGTCGTTAAACCGACTGTCCTGTATTTCTTTAATGAAAATTAAATCCCCATCGAGAACTGCGAATTTTTATGTTTGTTTTTTGTTGTTACATGTATCTATCTAATGATATTAAATGATATATTTCAGACCTAGTTTTAATTATGATGAACACAGAATGAAAGTATGTGAAATCTGCTTTAGAAAAAATCAGTGATCCTCAACAATGATGAAGTTTCCTTAAGTCTACATTGAAACTGAAAATAATATATATAAGCATGCGAGGTTTTTTAAAAGCAAGAATAAGACACAAATAAAATGTTTTATCATTTAGATTTGATCATTCTTCTTGTTTATATGCATATAGAGCCAAGGTCAGAATTAAGATCTGACGATACCTTCCCCATATATGTGTTTTTAAAATTTTTGAAATGTATGAAAAATATTCAAAATTTAACTTACACTCTGATTTTTAAAACAGTTTCTAATCGCCTTCAACAATCCAACACTTAAAAATTTGATTTTGAAGAAGTTTACTTTTCCCAAAAGGATTATTAAAGAAACAATACGCTCTGCTATTTTGCACAAATGCCTGGTACATCTGTCCTTATGGGAAAAAAGTTATGTACATCAAGAAAATGCGTATTTTGATACGGTTAAGCGGTTAACCGATGCGTAATTGTGTATTACCATACCTAGTAAAATCCAATCAAAAACCCATGTGTTACTTCAATTATGAATATATATTGTGATGTTTGATTATGTAAAAGCATGAAATTCTAGTTATTTCCATTGGCACCCTTCAGTAAAGAAATTGGAAAGAGTGTGGAAAGAGTGTGTTTTACTCTTCGACAAAGAAGGTGAGGATAAAGGAATGTATGTGATTTCATTTTTAATGTTGAAGTCTTGTTGGTTTTAATACATCCAAGGGACATGTAAGTTTTAACTTTCACTAGAAAAATGTAAGCTTATGAGAAAAAATAACTTTGCTTGCAATTTTGCTTAAATTTATCTAACAAAAGAAACATTTTATCTCCCAAACGAGGACAGGTTGGTGTTTTGAAAAGCTAACTTATAAAGTATAATCTTACAAAAGTATAACAATGACATCAAAATCTATTTAAATTCAATAAACTTTAAGGGAAAACTCATTTGATATTGTACTGGAATTGGAACTCTTGCTGGAGATTACAGTATATCTCCTTCCATTGATGCTCCCTTAAGGCCCTTTCACAATTGCACGAGCACTTTACAACACTTTGCGATCGGAAAATTTTAGCTTCACACGAGCTCTCGCCAAGCTTGCATACGTTGCACGATGTTTCGCATTCGTTGCATGCGTTTCAGTG